AGGGATGAATCAAACGCGCAGGCAGGAGGGGAGCAGCAGGGCTCTTTCTTCCTGCACATGCCTGCCAGATCCCAGCACCTGGGATGGAGCTGCGAGCAGCAGGGACGGCCGCTGCCAGAGAAGAGCAGCGGCGTGCAAGGGATTCGGGGGACGGGAGAAGACAGAGAGCTCCTTGTGCTGGGAATGTGTGCGTGCGTAATTGGGTTATTATATACATGCGCTTCGCTAGTGTGCCATAAAATAATGACAGAGCAAATGCCCAGTAGCAGCCCAAGGGGATTAGTTCAGGTTCTGTCGATGGTTTTATTATCAGCTCTGTCATCTGAGTACTTTCTAACTTGGCTGCTAAATATGCTGTGGGCTGGGACTTGGCACAGAGCAGCCTTGGCCCCCAAAGTGCTTGTATTATTCCAAACAAAATGTCACTGCGCTTGGCTCCACTCTGCCTCTGAGGAAGGTGAGGCCAAGCACTTGGGCGGTGGCACTCTGCACCCCGGTTATGACACCGCTCCGCAGATTTCATCCCCATCTGAACACAGCAAGCAGTGGGCTGGGAGGGACTCACGTAAAGCTGGAGACCGCTGGTTCCTGCGGGGACGTTGGCTGGGCTGCCGTGTGCCTCACGCTCTGCCGTGTGCCTCACGCTCTGCCGTGTGCAAGCTGAGAAGCTGCCGCTCCTGGAGGGACCTGCACAGCCTCTGGTCCCGGTCTTGCTGCCAGCAAGGACCTGTGAGGGATCCCCGGGGAAGGGAGAGCCAGCCTGTGTTTCACACTGTCTGAACTTGGGTCCAGTCCAGCTGCGACATGCACTGTTCATCTCCTGCCGGTGCTCGCAGCTGCTGACTGACTGCAGAGGTTGCTGGGGTTCATCTGCCTTGGCCAGTACCCCTTGAACAGGGGGAATACACCAAACTGCTGGACGAGCACAGAGTTAATGCAGGGGTCCAGGTCTGCTCAGGCTCCTGGTCCACCTAATCCACCACCACACTCGTGAAGAAGGTCCCCCCAGTCGGTAGTCTGCTACCCAGAGATGGTTTCTTCTTCATCCCAGGCTAATGCTCTGCATCATGAGTGCTAATACTTTCCTCTTGGCTGGAGTAACTCCAGGTGATGCTTCTACAGGTATGTTTTGTTCAGGAACATCTTGTGCTTGTGTGTTTGACCAGCCATATGGAGCTCGGGATTTCAAATCAATGTATTTCACTCAGTCTCTGCAGAGATGGTGGCTGCATTCATTTGGGGTTGGAAACGGGCAGATGATTTCCCATCCTTTCAAATAGCAGTTCTCTCATCCCACATAGCTGCCCTTTTGGGTTCCTTATCTGCTGTCAAGGCTTCTGAAGGTCATTCTAGCGCCTCTGAGGTAAAGCCAGCATCACGGTGTTTGCTCTCATATGTGACGTAAGTAAGTTGACAGTAGTGCACCCCACTCCTCTTCTGGCTGGGGTACGCATGTCAGCATGGAACGGCTGAAGTGGGATTGCTGGGCTGACAGTGGCCCATGCATGAGTTTCTGGCCTCATCCCTTCTCTACCCTCTCTTACTCGAGAGCTCTGCCATGCCATCACACGTTCACTTCTCCGGCTACTTTTAGTCTAGTCTCTCTGCACAAAGAGATGTTTCCCTATGTCTAACAGCAGCTGATTTCCTGTCTGGGCACCTTTTGCTGTCGGGTGACGAATGAGAAAGGAGCCGAGGGGCTGAGCTGGGAAAAGAGACTCACACCCCTACAAGACAGACGATGGTGACTCCCTCGAGCTGTGCTAGTAGATGGGGTGGGCAAGGACCACGCCAGGCAGCACCTGGCGCAGCAGGATGCTGCACCATGACTATTCGGTCCTCCAGTAACAACTCACAACAGCAATACTGAGAGGGGAGGGAATCAAGGGCTCAGATTCATTTTAAAGGCAGGCTACACATGGCAAGTTGCTGAAGGAGCTGCGTTCTTTGTAGCAAACCCTGTAGATCTCCTTCACTTTTACATTAGCACCTAAAGAAAGAGAAAACTGAGAGCAGAATACAGGCTGTGTCTGGTGTCCACTGTAAAACTTGAGAACAAAAGATCTGCAGTCCTCGGGGCAGTGCACAAGCAGACACTGAATTCCTGCATTGCTTTCGGCTCCCCTGGGAAATCAAAGTCACTCCATTTGCTGGGAAACTCTCTCTCCATGGAGAAGTGATGGGCACCCTCCCAGCTGCCAGCGTAATCCCTCGGGAGCCGTATCCTGCAGCTCTCGCCCTGAACCCAGCAGGTTCCCCCCTGGAAGCACAGTGCTGCCTTCCACACAGCCCAGGAGCTGGGGAGGCCGCCTGCCTGCTCAGGGCTCAGGCAGCTCCCGCAGGAAGGGTTTGATTTGCACTGTTTGGTTTGGCTATTTAAATACTTTAGTGAGTGTTGGGGTAATTTTAGGCATGTTTATCCTCTGCTCTGGGAGAGACTCAAGACACATGTAAGCAGTTATTCTCCAGCGGGTTTGTTGTGTTTGTGCTTTCACATGCAACACACGCACACCCTGCAGTGTGGCAAGACTTGGGGTGTGCAGCTGGCAAAGCAGACTGGGGAGGGAGAAGAGAGCAGGGATGAGAGAAGCACTTTGGGGAGGATCCCCCACTCCAGCTCACGCTGCACTTCACTTGCTTCCCCCATGCGTATCCTGCCCTGGCACCATAACCTGGGGGGCCCAGCAGAGGAAGGGTGCACTGTGTAGGTCTTGTTTAAAAAAAGATGTTCCGTGGAAAAATTGTCCTGCAGAGACTTTTCACACCGGAGACGCTGTCAACTCTTTCCTACTAATCCCAAATACACAGACAGGTAAATGAAGGGTTCCTGGATATTCTTACACTGGGGATGGCTCAGCCTGTAACGTGAATGGAAGCACTGCTGAGTCTGCACATAGCTGCCCAGCAAAATGAAAAGCAGAGCACTTCAGGGGTTCGCTGAGGGCCACAGACATGTTTTTAGAGGTTCACTGAGATCCTGGTGCAGATGAGACCTGCAAGGACAGACAGGTGACCAGACCTCCTCCTCTTAGTGGGATTTGGGGAGGAGAGAGACATCACCATCTCACATCTGTGAAAATTAGCGGCGGGGGAACCCCCCTCCAAACATCTCCAGGAGATTGGGCCAGGGGACAGTGCTTGTCTTGTGGGTTTAGAGATCCCAGCCTGCGCATCTGAGCAGCATACGCTCCCTGAGGGTAGAACATCCTGCCATAGCTCTGGAGAGGGCTGCTCTATGCCAGGTGGCCGTACCCAGTGGGACATGTCCTGGCTGTTCCTTGGGCTGGGCACCGATAGCTCATTGCTCACCTTAGCTTGGATGTAATTGCACAATGAACAAAACATCTCAACCCCCTTCCTCCTGTGCCTGGAGTGTGCTGCATCCTAGAGCAGTTTCTTGGTTTCAAGGGGATTTCTAGGTCATCAGATTAAGGGCTCTTGAAACCTTTTGCTATCCCAGCATCCTGGGGCTTGTTTGCTTTGTGAGTACTCCTGTTTCTGGCAAACTGTTGCTTGGATGACACCAGCAGCTTGGTTGTGGTGTTGTTGATGGACTAGACTCACAAACTGTCACGTAATTAAAGTGTCTGATAATAAAAATAGTCCTGCAGTGTTTATTCATTTGCTTTCTCTTGTTACATCGGAGCCTGGGTCCTCTCGTTCTGTCTGTGGGCATAAACATTTGCAGTCCATAATGTTTCATGTTCCACGTTGCTTAGGAAAAATAAACATTTTCCTCTTTTCGTTGCCAACAACAACTACCACCAAATAATCCGGAAACAAACTGTCAGGCCCCAGGAGGTAGTGCTTGATGGTGCCACGGAGCATGGGAAGTGAGCGGAGAGGAACCTCCAACTGTGTATGCGCGGCCAGGCACTGCGGCACCTCCCATTTGGCCTCATTTGGCCAAAGTTTGGCCTCGGCCTTTGCATTGCCTCTGGCTCTGTCTGCAGCGGGACCGGGCCACAGCCCAGAATGAAGGAGCCATTCCTGTAGCAGAAGTATTTTGTGTAAGCCAAGAATTCATAGTTAGAGGGGTTGGGAGACTCTGCCTTGTTCTGGAGAAGGTAGGATCAATAAATCTGGTGGCTTTGCCTAGGCATTGTTTCCACCAAGTTTCCATTGTTTCCACTAAGGAAACAATGCTCCTCGACCAGGAGCACGCTTAGCTCAGGGTCTGACCAGACCACAAACATAATCTGTTTCTGCCATGAAATTTCAGCTGCAGCATTAGCACCTTCCAAGGCCAGTCAGCTTCTGGGACACAACCTGAGTGGAGTGGAGCTGGCTCCAGTTTTACCACTAACCGTCAGCTGTAGCTGCAGATTCAAATCCAACCACTGCAAATCCATGCTGGGCTGAGGGGCAGACTGGCCAAAAAGCTGGCTATGGTACCCTGTGCATCAGGACGACAGTGCTGATTTCAGGCAGGAACATTGCTGCAGCCTGTTAAGGGGGTGCAGAGCCCCTGGTGGGCACAGCCACCTGACAGTGGACAGAAATGGGGTGAGAGAACTGTCTTACATGAGAACTGCAGGAGAACGCATCTCTGCTCTCCTTCCCCGTGTGTTGAACTAAGGGCAGGAGTGCTCCGAGGTGCAGGCTCATAGGTGGGAGGAGGAAAATGCTACAAGCAAAGAGGCAGCAAACACCAGGGCCTCGCCAAACACTCTGAGTAACAGAAGGAGAAAGCAGGGAGAAATGGAAAAGCAGTAGCAGAAGGGACAGGGTGGTGGGGAGAAAACCCATGAGCTCATCCCCTAGCAGAAGAGGAAACAGCCCCCAATGACAGGGGAAGTATCCAAGACTGATGGGATTCACGTTGTAACTTGTCCAGTCACTCCTGCCTGACGGGGAGGGGGGTCTCTTTTCATGTCCGTGCTGCAAGAGCAGGCAGGAGCCCGGGTAATTAGGTACACGACAGAGGAGACAAGTTTAAGTTCAGGGCGGGCAGTAGAGGATGGACCCAGGCAGAGAAGTGCACTGGCTTTGTCAGTACCATGCACTGGCCTCACTCTTGAGGTCTTTTATACACAGTACTGCTGATACTCCACTGTAGCTGTGCTGCTTCTCCTCCCGGGAGGCTCTGGAGGGCGAGTGCTGCCCCACACAATGAGGTTAAAGATGCTCCCGGCTCCTCAGGATGGCTGGGACACTTCCTGGGAAGCTTGGCTGGTGTTCATCTGGCCGCAGCAGACCCAGAAGTGATGGCTGTTGTATCGCAGCACTTGAGGGCTGATAAAGCTGCGAGGAACCGAGTGGGCAGTCTGTACCTCTGCTGTGGTTTCTGCTCCCCCATGGGATCTGTCCTTTCCCTCCTGTTGCCTCTCAGCCTTTTGGTCACAAGGCTGCTAGGAAGAGGCACTTTCTTTGCAAGGAGCTGTAGCCAGCCTGCAGCACAGCCCTCTTTGTGTATAGCTTTGCTCCTCTGCTGTCCTCACTGCCCTCGGCCCTTGGTTTCAGGCCTGGCAGCCTCTCTGCGCTCGTGTTGTGCGCACATTTTGCTGCTCAGTCTCTATTGCAAAGCCCTGGCCTCTTCCCGTGGCTAAAAGCTGTCTGTTCCCATGCACAGCAGCCACCCCAACCGTGGGTTATACTGGGAAGGGCAGTGCAAGTGGCTGCACACAGCCTTAGCCAGAGGCTCAGATCTGGCTCTGCACTCAGCTGGTCTGAACGCCTGCCCTGGGTTGCAGGGACTTTCCTTTGCTGTTGGTCTTTGGTAATCCTTTCCCCTCTGGTGGGAAATGGGAATGGGAGGAGTGGGGATGCCTTGATAGTTACCCAGCAGCCAGTGCCCTCCTCATCCTCTCTTCACAGGTTTGCACTAGCTTCAGCAGTAGCACGGCCCTAAGGAAACCCCTAACCTTACACTTGGGGCATTATACCACAGCTCAGGAGAACAAAGCAGGATCTCCCCAAGAGAGGATGGCTTCAGAGCTGGGTGGGAAGGATGCAACCTTAAGTGAGAGGACACGTTATCTAAGCTTTGGGAAGTGCCTGCAGTGAGGTGTGTCCAGCCAAGGAGACCGAAATCTCCAGCCTGACGCGTCTCCTGAGCATTGTTTGGCAAGTGGTTTCTAACCGTCACATTTCCCCTTGCTGGCTGCGCCTGCAGTGGCATTTTCCAGCCCTTTCCTGCCATGGTGCTAATGTCAGTGCAGTGACGACAGGGAGAGACTCGCTGTTTGCGTAGGGGCACAGTGAGCACATGGGGCAGCAGGACAGGTCTCGCCTCCTGCCTCCACCCAGAGCCATTCGCAGGGCCACGCTGTGTCCCCTCCCAGGGCCGTGTCTCAGCAAAGGGCAGGCAGACGGGAGCAGGGAGGGTCCTGCCTAGGCAAGGTGGGGTTTGGATGGCTGGAAGCTGGGATTCATGCCAGTGGCCTTGAGTTAACCAAAGGGGAGAGAGAAAACCTACCTCTGGTCTGCCCCTGAACGTGGGATCCCTCACGGCGAGGAGGAAACAGGCAGTTCCTCCTCTGCCCCTGCTTGGAGGAGGGTGATAATCTCCAGATTATGCCAGTGCCCCCAGCCAGGAAGGCAACAACTGGCCTTCCTGGGAGACGGGGGGCGGGATGTGTTTAGCATAGCCAAGACAAAAAACAGGAGTAAACCCATCTGGGTCAGCCTCAGCCCACCCACCTACCTGGCAACTCCTGAGGGTTTCCCAGTGCTCCCAGTTGCACAGTGAGGGCTCTCCCCAGGGTCCATCTCCACTCCTCCTCACGTGCCTCGATGTGGCTGTCCTACACCTCCTGGTCCTGAGAAACCAGACACATTGATCACCCTATGTCCTCGGGCAGCAGGACCTGGCTCCGGTGGCAGTGGGTGCTCTTGAGCACACCCAGGAGTAAGGAGCCAAGCAGCCCTCCATGCTGGGCTTTGGTGACACAGCTGCCATTGTGTGCTTGGCAGAGGGTCTCATCGGGGCTGGGAGCAAGATGTTGGGCGGGACGTGAACCTTATCGGCTCCTCCTGCCAGCTGTCCTTCGCAGGCACTAGCTGCCAGCCCAGGCAGGGTGCCAAGCAGCTCTTAGAGAGCTCCTCTTAGAGAGAC